TCTCCCCCATATATGTAACCTCAATATATGAAGCTTGTATACAATCTACTACCTACTTTCAGAGTGTTCATGGAAGTACTTAATCCGAAGCTTAACGGTTTGGTTTGCATTAGGCGGTTTGCATTAGGCGGGTGTTTCGAAATCAGCCCTTCTCAGCTACTCCACCTGTCCCTGCAATATACCTTGAGACTGCAAGTCATTCCGCAATCCTGACGATGCATCGTACCGTCTTTTTTTTTCATATATGGCGGATCCTTCATTGGCCCCTTTCATGCACCGAAGACCAGCATTTGAGCCGATCAACCCGCATGTTCGGGTCAGGATCGACCGATCGCTGTAGTATTAGAATCTAACGAGTACATATGTGATAAGTTGTATAGTTATATAACAACTATAACTCAAACATTAGGGAACGTTGGAAAAAAACCCCCCGGGAAGCACTGACAAGTACCGTACCCAATACTACCCAGAGTTTTGTCAAGAAATAAATCCAAAAAAAAAACCCCCAACGCCAGGTTAGAGAGAGATTAAAGAAAATAATATAACATAAAAATGGTAAAATAATATAAAGGGTAAAATAACAGAATAATAGAACTAATAATATAAATATAAAACATATAAAACATGTAGAAAATAAAATACATAAAAAAACAAATATAATAAAAATAATAAAAATGAAAATGAAAAATAAAAAAATGAAAATGAAAATGAAAATGAAAATAAAATAAACCAACCCCAGCAAACGGTCGTAATAATAATGGAACCCTAAAAATTCTAATCCTCCTATTTCACTTGGAATTGTATTTGTTGGATTGTTTTACGTGTCTAAGCCATCTTTTTGAGCCTCTAATATAAACCCCGTCATCTTCCCTAGATCTTCTCTTTCTTCAACTTCTCTAGCCTTAACCTTGTGGCTGAATTTCTACAACGCAACCTTGAACCTCCGACGTCATTGTGTTGTACACAATCTAGGCCTTGATCCTTATTCTCTGTTGCATTTAATCTCGAAGGGTCTAGTCTACCCTTTTTTTTCTCTTCCTTCTTTTCTTCTCCTGTCAACTCTTTGAGAAGATCCGCCAACTCAACTCCCTTTGTCGATCCACATTTGATCTAAACAACCCCGGTCAACATCTACCATGTATTCCTGCGCAAATTATCCCCGTGGGTGCCGAGGCCGTGTCAACCGACAAGGAGCAAAGTGCTCTGACTGCGTTGTATGTGATCCCTAAGTCTATATCTTTGAATCTTCCTATACAAAAAAAAAGCGACATTCGAAAGAAAATTACTTAAAAAAAAAACTAACACCTTTCACAGTCTCTAAACTTGCGCCGTCCAGCCTTCGCTTCGCCGTTCGCTCAACCACGCGATTACAAGCGTGCACTGCCTTCAGAGCTCTTCAGCGAGCTTTCATCTAAAGCATCCGAGCCTGAGCTGTAATGAACGCAAAGCTCACATCCTGGGACGGTCCGGAGAATAACCCAGCTCCTCGCTAGGTTGCGTCCTGCCGGCTGGGACTCACCTCGTATGATCTACGGCCGCTTCCTTTGTTCTTTCTGATTTCCCTCTTTTCCTCTCTATCTCTCTCCCCATGTCTCTCATATGCATCGTTGGGAGTTTCTTTGTTATATGCAGCCGCCGCCTGCCATTTACTTTGATGCCTAATTTCCTGGTTTTCTCATCCTACGTCGCCTCTTTGATCTCGTCTCTCTACATTGGCCGGGCTAATGAGCGAGCTTCCACGAATCTCCTTTCGGAAACTGGGAATCTTGGCATGGACTTCGCGAACATTTCCTTTTTCCCTCGCTTGGGTTTGTTGTTAGGACAAAGAACGGCCCGCCTTTTTCTTGTTTTGCATGGAGAATAGATCGCTTCTTTTTTTGCATGGATACCTACGGACATGGATCTGCCACTGGAGGGCAGTGGCGCTGATGGATTGGGTTCTTTCAACTCTCTGGTTGATCGTTGATCGACCCCTTCTTTTCCTTGCGCATACGTGTGCTTTGATATTCCTGGTTTTTGCTTTGGTCTTGGTTTTTATGCCCTATTTTTATGTTTTTTTAACTGATGTTGACTCTCTTCTTTGTGAACGGTGATGCCATACCCCTGTGTTTTACTTGCGCTTCCTATCATATGACCATTCCCCCTAGTGCTAGTGCTATATACCTATTTACAGCATTCATACTGTTATTTCTTGACCTTCTACCATGTCGTCTATCCCGCTTCAACAATCTAGACCTAAATCAAGAATACTTAGCCCTGTCGGCAAGATTCCTAATCCATCCTCAAAACTTGATACCCACTTCACTACCCAACCCTTGCAGTAGCACGTTCGGGTCCAAATGGATATACGTTCAGGCGCAGTGCCGCGGGGCTGTGAAGTTTCGGCCCCAACCCCCCTCTCTCTCTGTAACCCGCCGTGGGGGCTCGGCACCCGGCTAGTCCTCCTCGCTAACAATTTTCAGCCGCAATAACTCCCGCATCTCACATTGAAACAGATATCCGAGCCCCAACAGGCCGAAAGAAGAAAAAGAGTTTTCGAAAATACCCCAAGTTTAGAAATACTATCGTGCACATACCCCATCCATCTCTCGGCTCAACACCCAACAAACTCGCACGGGGTTGTGTGTCTTCATCCTTCATCAGCCCTCAGCTCATCCACATCCGTTGTGTCGCATCATCACCCCCGACTCCGCTGCGCAATGCCGAACCAACCGAACACAACCCCTGTAACTACACCCCCGTCAGCATCTAGACCTTGTCGGACCCAAATCTACAGATCTGCGCCTTGCTATAGATGCGCGGGTGGCATGCTCTTGCTCTTTCGCCTAGTGAATGGCCCGGCTAGGGGGGCTATGTTGCACGCGAGTTACGGGTTACGGGTTAGGCAGTAATGTACTAGCATTTGTGCGAGGCTTAGTACCACCGACGCCGTCGATCGGATTTTGTTGATAACTAATGTCGTGCAGGGGTCATCCCTGTCTTAGTGGGCGCACACACACATATAATGCAATAAGCTCTGGTATGGTGATGTTGGATTGACGCCGTTATGGCTTAATATGATTACCTGTCGAGGCATTGGGGGACTTTTTTTCGCAGATTGTGTAGGTCATGTGGTGTGCAAGGCTGTGTTTCGGGGAAATCTAGACTGAGCTGGGCCTGGCTCTTTTCGGAGAATCATTAGTTCCGAGGGGAGATTGTTTTTTTCTATAATCTACGATATACGATATACGATATACGATATACAAGATGTATGATGTATATTTTCCAAGGTTTTGTATTTTTTTTTTTTTACTGAGGACGTAGATAGGGCATATCACACCTTGCTGACTACGCGGAACAGAAAAGGGGCGCTGGGCTCCGAATAATATGTACAATATAGGAGAATACCAAAGAGAAAGAACCACGTCGATCGCTTGTCTCAGAGATAGATAGATCCACTTCTGTGTGTTTTGTCCACATCTGAAACTATTGTTTATATTGTATAAATTATTGTAAGCTAGACATTTCCCCTTGGGCAAAACTACGGCCCGCCAACCAAATACCATAATGAACAGGGGATCAGGGGTGGCCAAGGAAAAAAGACACTCAAAAAGAAGAACAGGAAAAAAAAAAGAGAAACATAAACCCACATTCCACAGTCGGATTCTGTCAAATTTGGGCTCCATCTGAATGTAAAACAAAGCCCAGTGAGATAGATAGACTAAAGCGCCTAGTGTTAAATCTGCTTCTAGCCTCTTCTACCGGCCTTCTATGCTGTTTCTCTTTTTGTTCTTTAGCGTCGAAATTTCCAGCCCCCCCTTTTTTTCTGTTTTGTTCGGTATTTGGGGTAATTTTCTACGCTCAGCCACATACCGCATCCGGAGAACGTCCAGTAGCGGATCGATCGTTGTTTCAGGACCTGTGGGGAATTTGGCACGTTCCATCTCCACGGGATGTGTTCTCTTGAGAATGCTTTAGCTCGTTTGGACTTTCTAAGATCTGTTGATCGCTGTGGGAAAAGATAATCGGATAACCGGGGTGGCGGTGCATTTCCCGTTGACACTTGCGTAGATCGGGGATTAATATTCGTTGATGCCTGTCCCGAGGCCTTGGTTGTTTCGTTGGGTACTGACTCACATCCCTGGACTTACTATATTATGTACCTACCTAGAATAAAGTGGAAATTCTAAAGGACTAAATTGTTAATTACCTAGATTAATACTATATTAACTTGTCTCCCTAATATCCCGATCCAAAGGCAACAATAATCTGCAGCATGTAACCAATCCTCATCATCAGAAAATAGATTGGACTCCAAAAGTCTAGAAGGGAAAAGAAGGATCATATGAAATTCGAGTCAAAGACCAGTGAGCTTGTCTATATCCAATCGAGCCAAGGTGGATAATAATTTGCGTTGTTGCATGTGCCCGAACACGAACCTCCATACCCACCGTGCCCTATAAACGTCCCTAAAAAACCCTAAAACCCCTGTTCGATCCTCTAATCCGATACAGAGGGGTCAAACTGTCAAACAGGCCGTCGTGGATATGTACCCGATCGGATCTACAAGGTATACGCCTCTGGGCTGATAGTTACCAATTGGCTATTAGTTCCCGGTCTAGAACGCGCCATCGGGTTACGATCATAAGCGCGGGACGGCTGGGAACTTTGGAAGTCGAATCGGCCAGTGTTTAGCCCCCTAGTTAAAGAGCCGCTTTAGGACGTAGACCCTTTAATCTCGGGTGCGAAAGGTGGTTGGGCGCGTTGCGTGGACACCGGCACTTGGCGGAAGAAATTTGCGATAGATAGATTGTTTTTTTTTGCCGCCAACGGCGTCACAATCAATATGTTGGTACGTACTCCACGGAGTAGTCCGACATTAGTTGCCATTTTGTATGTTGGGCTTTCTTGGTGGATCATTGTTCGGAGCTTGCGGGTGATGGTTACAGCCTATAGAGGCTTAGACATTCAATTCGTGGCTCCAGTGCGGCATCTAGATGTTTCTAGTAAAATGTAACCATCTACACATTCAAAATCTGCCGGCACACCCATTGTGCGGTCTTGGTGTGGAGTGTCCAATCTCGCTCGTCTTCCAAGGTTTCGGTGTCCGTTGCTTCGGTGCCATGTCCACCCGTGTTACAGACTTCTCCAAGTGCCTCGAAAACAACAACCTGATCTCTCATGTAGCTATCTAGACAAGCTCTCTTGACCGTGAAAGCAGGGTTCTTGTCTAGGTTGGCCTTTAGACTCTCGTTTGAGATTTCCCCGATGAATCCATCCACACATCGGCGGACTAGATCTGCTGCTGCAGAAAATGCTATCTCATTCTGTGAATCTCGTCGAGGGTCACGAGCTGGCTGTTGCTTTTGTTTCCCTTTGCTCTTTGACTTAAACAGGCGATCTCCTCCCACGCTACCGATGATGTCATGGCCTATTCTGAACCCTGAGGAAGTATGTGCAACAAGAAGGATGTACACATGGCTGCAGTGATTTGTAGCTTCCGATGTGTGTATAGTGATGGGAACTAGTGCGTTTTTGGCTGACAATTTGCTGAGCGAGTCCCCTTCGGATAGAGCCGAATTAGAACGTTTAGCAAACATAGACGGATCCAGCTTCTTAATATCACGTCGAAGAGTACGCCGGGTAACTTGTTCGATAAACTGGCGAACAGTACTCCCCGTGCCTTCTGCATCCGCGTTTAGGGCAGGTTGATCAGGTGCTAGCACTGTGATATCAATCTGGGTGATTTTCCCGCGTTTGTGACCCATTAGATTAATCCGTGGGAAGCTATATAAAAGCTCAGCTGCCGATTCTTTTTCTGTCGACTCCTGAAGTTGATCTTCACTATCTGGATCATTTCGAGATCTGAGTGTATGTATGAGAAAGGTGACTGCTCCAAGATCAACCGGCCCTGTTGTCCAACCGCGCTTATTAAGGATAATGGACAGAGGAGGAAGTCCAAGCTTGGCAAAATTGGGCACGATAACTTGCGATGCATAGTCATATGATGGAGAATAAGTAGCGTTTGTTCCACCAGTTATGTTCACTTTCACAAAGGGAGCAGCTGCCTGTGATCCAACATGAAGTAGATACGGGTAGAGGGCCTGGAAGACGAGAAAGATGGCACCGGCAGTCGTGAGCTTGATGTCGTATTCGGATTTAACATTCACTTGCGACAAATCCAGGAGCGGTCCGCTTTTCGATCTTGTTGATTGTGGAAAGAAGTTCAAGGACTGGGAGCCAACCTCGCCGCCTGATACTTTGCTGCCGCTAATATCGGCCAACAGCTTCACTGCTGCGGCGTGAGATCTCTTAAGCCCCTTCTTTCCCTCTCTGTTCCCGCGAACATTATCAATGCTAACTGGACGACCAGTCAATGCAGACAGCCCGATAGCGATGCGAACCAGCTGCCCACCTCCTTCCAGAGTTCGGCCGTTCAAATAGACATGGTTTAATTCGGATGAAGTGGATCGTGAGGATGCCATTTTAGACAAATTTTTAGTTATCTTCGACATTGATATCTTGAAATCCTTGGTATATTTGTGCGAAAAACAATCAATATATTCATTTCGACCAGTCCCACCTGCAGTTGGTCCTGAGTCAGATTCTGAGGCTGGGTCATCTTGGCGTGAGTCACCGCTAGTCTAGAGAGATCTCGGCCTAGTGGTTCTTAGCGCTTAGCGAAGGCTTAACTCTGGAAGAAACTCGAGATTCATCTGAAGTTGGCGAAATGGACGAAAGAAGCGTAGAGGTAGCAGTTGCCATGAAGTTATTTCGCACCTTCCGTATTAATGGAGTAGGAATACTTCCTTCCATCGAGTATCCAAATATATTCTCCCCTCATCAAATCCCCAAATCCCTTCTTCTCTGGATTCCTCGTCTCAATACTTCTGTAGTTATATACTCTGCAGAAATTTTATAACATGTTTTCCTCTACATCCAATACACGCAACCTAAGAAGGTCCATGTCCACCCGCTCAATACGAAAGCCGCGACGACCTACCCTGGAGATCCCCGATGTTGCCATCCAGCATGCAACCGCTGCAGCTGCAGCTTCGCGGGCAATGCGCTCTAGTCAGAACTCGTCTCAGGAGTCGAAAAGCTCATACGAACGACTAGGTGGCCCAGGAAACTTTGCCGTTCCTCGAAGGCGGCCCGGATCGGGCCTTAGGAGTACTGATGATAGCTCGGTCAGCCAGAGCGACTTGCCTAAAGTTCCAAAGCCTCATCAGTCCAAGGAAATAACAGGCGTAACGGCTCGAGCTTATTGCTTCGATGACCCTGCCGCCCTTACGCCAATTACAGAACTCGACAGACTTGATGGACGAGACTGCTCAGTGCCCTCTTCATATCGCCGATTACGCAAGGCCAAATCAATGTTCTCAACCAGGCAGCGAACTTCACAGACCCCATATGGAGTGCCTGCCTTTCCTTGCGGCGATCCCCTTGATCCCGAGCGCAGTCCTGGATTTCAGCTGCCGCGAACAATGAGACCATCCATGTCTTTCCTTCGAGGAAGTTATCAATCCACACAAGTCAGTCCAACTGCTAAGGGTCATGATGCAGCTATTCAGCTTGCTCGCAGCCAATTTGCCCAGGATCCCAACGGTAGAGGTGGTCAGACTCGTCGGTCATCCTTCTTGCGTCTGAGCAAGAAGGAGCACAGGCCATTTCGAAAATCGTTCCGGGCTACGAGTGAAGGGGGTGTCGACACCGGGCGTTCTCATCGGTCTTTTTCACACTCCATCAAAAACAAATTCAGGCGGGTGTTTGGGTTTTCCAGGTTCGCGAATCAACAACCTACGCCACACGGTACCACAAATGGTGCTGAGGCACCTATGGTAACTCCGATTAGGAAAAACAAGGAGAAGTCCCCTCCACACAAACTTACAGCCACTGAAGACGGCATTGATTCCAACTATTTCCAGTCAATGCCCCAGTCTCCCAGTCGCGACAGTCTCTGCACTTCCTCCTCGCGCGTCACCAGTTGGGCTGATTCAACCATGCCAAACACAGTTACAACCCGAAAACCAGGACATCGCCAATCTCTCTCTTTGATAAGAGAGGACGGGAGCCTGGACCAGCAAATGCCACGAACGCCTGTAATGGATGATACCCGAAATCAATCTCCTTTGGGTGTGAGAGCAAACTCTCATCAAATTAGCATTGTTGACAGTCAAGATTTATACACGGCGTTGATGAAACAGATGGGCCACAATTCCCTGTCTGATCCCAACGAGGAGATGGTCTTTGGAAATGTGCCACAGCATCGTCTGATTCCAGAGCGGACGAATTCGGTATACTTCCAACATGGCCGACGCAGTATTCGCCATGTCCCAAGCCAAGAATCCTCGGCCTCACCTGGCTCATTCGCAACAGCGCGGGGTGGTGATCAATCCAGTCCACGAAAGTATCCGCGCTCAGCTAAGTCAATGCAAGTTACTCGGGGCATGCCATCTCAGGTGAAAACTCAACATATGACTGCTGTTTCAGACAAGAGGTCGCCACAATCAACATACGGTTTAAGCGAGGAATCGGATGAGGATAGTGGTAGCGTTATTGTTTCTCGCCTTCGGGCCTCGAAAAGGGATATTATTTCGCCCAGTGTCTATTCCCGGTCCACCAGTGGCAATACCCCAACAAGAACTGACAATGCCAACATGGGCGTCCATGATGAACCAGGAACAGCGACCATCTTTACTCAACAGCGGACAAAATACAGCTCACCCAAGCGTGCCAATCGGGTTTCGTCTCCCACGCCTCATGTAAATCCCAGTGCTGACTGGCAGCAATGGATGAGCTCGCAGATCGAAAGAATTGAGCAGGCAAGCCCCACAAGGGAACATATCAGGGAAGATGCACAATACCAGGACGATGATGAGTACTTCACCAGCATAGCTCGACGAGCTCCTGTCGCTGTCTCAGCTCCCGCTTCAGCAACTCTACTAAAGGTTCCAGACAGTCAGAATATCACCGATCGCAAAGCATCCGCCGAGAACAGAGTCCCGTCACAGAGCAACTTCTCCCGTCCATTAATCCAGGCTTCCGACATGCGAACCATCGTGCCATTACAGACAACTAAGTCAGAAAATATTGCGCACGCTCACGCTAACTCATTGGCCGTGGATACCGCTGCCAAGTCTGGTGGAAACGGTTCACCTAAGCTCGTCTCCGTTGCTTGCAATCAAGAACCGTCGCCAATTCGACTGAGATCTGGAAACATGCAGCCACCAGAGTCCCCAACCCCCAAGGGTGTGCGAGCAAGGCGATCCTGGACCAAAGAACAACAGCGACGCTATTCATCTAGGCGTGCTCCGATCGCCCAAGATAGCAGGGTCGATTACTTCCGGTCCATGCGCACCCAACGAGACAACCGTGCAAACAATGAGAACGCGCGGCAGCAGGATGAGTACACTGACATGATGGAGAACTACCACCAAAATCAAGACCTTCATTCAGCTATTCCTAGCAAGCGCATGGTGGATTTGTTCTTAGATAGTCGCCGTCGACGAATGGGTGAAGTCACTAACAACGATACAACCACAGAGGCTTTTCTTTGAATTTTCTTTGCATGTGAGAGACTGGCTCTTTTTGCTGTTGGGATACCTCGAGGGTTGTTCATGTTTCGCTGTGTCATATTCTTTCGGAGATCCTGACCATTCATTCGCTCATTCACTCATCCATCACTTATTGGACATGTATACTAAAGCTCCGGATCGGAGTTGGGCAGTTTGTTTACCTGGTATGGAAGCAGCCATTGTTATCTTTTATTATTTCCACTTAATGCTAAAAATCAAGGCCCATTCATTCGATACCCAGTTTGAAGAAGTAAGAAATAACAATCAAGAGCAAAAAAGAAATCTCTCCCTCGGGGAATCGAACCCCGGTCTCCCGCGCTTATCGGTATTAATGACAAGCGGAAATCATCACCACTAGACCAAGGAAGATGCGATGGTCGAGTTACTGCTCGGCCACTTGGCTGGTTGATGGAAGGTGCGGCACATTATGGCTTTATGAGCAAAATCTTAGACCGATCCTCCCAAAAACACAATAATTGTCGAAGTTTCGATCAACAATTTATTTAACTGACTGTTAAAGGTAATGCCTTTCTAGTCTAACACACTGTGTACAAAAGTTTGAAATATTTACGAGCGGGGAAAATATGGGATTAAAAAAAAGAGTATATAAAACATGAAGCTCAATATATATATCCGTTAAGCCATATTGACATCAGCCACAGATACTAATCGCGAATTGTATTGAATATCACATAGTCATGAGCTATTACATGCAGTCAATTTCGACCCCTCTCTCGCACTTACAGGAATCCAGATAAACTAATATGTTCAACCAGGTACGTTAGAATAGGTTGATAATCCACTGATATCCATGCGTGGTATTAAGTGGGTCACTGCGTGTAAGTGATCATGCCATGTAGGGATTTCCCATGTGGGTATTGGCCGTGTGGGTATTCCCCGATCCGAAGACAACATGCCATGTAGGTATTCTTCGAGTAGGTAATTGCCATGTAGGAATACCCCTTTGTAGGTATTATCCATACATAAGAGAAGAGAAATGGGCTCTGTACGTAGGCCGAGCGAGTTGTCCAAGGGACATAACATACCCAACAATGGATATTTTCCTGGACATTCTGGATACATTGATCCTCGATCGTTGCTACGCACTACTATCGCCAGACTCAGCAGCAACTTTCAACAATGATACCCTGTCCGCTGCAAATTTGAATCGCCATGTCCGGGTTCATTACCCTATGCAGCCTTCAAAATGGGCAGAGGCAAGCCTTTGGAAGAGAGATGATATTGCGAGACAAGCATTGTCATTATACTTGATTGCATGGTAAGTCCTTTCGCCCAAGGTAAAGTATTCCAGTAACTGATTCAGACCTCAACATACGCAATAGGCTTTTCGCAATGATCATGTACCTCCTCGGTAGCTTCCTACTATACCACACCCTATTCGACAAAAGGCTCCTCCAACATCCGCGATTCCTCCAAAATCAGATCAAACTGGAAATCAGCCAAGGAATCTCCGCAATCCCCGTAATGGCCATCCTCACCGTCCCCTTCTTCCTAGCAGAGATCCGGGGATGGTCAAAGCTATATGATTTCACCAGCGACTCTCCGTTTTTCGGATACACCTTACTGCAATATCCATTGTTTATCTGCTTCACAGACAGTGGGATTTACTGGATCCACCGTGCCCTACATCACCCTCGCATCTACCGCTGGCTACACAAACCACACCATAAATGGGCTGTACCGACACCGTTCGCCAGTTATGCATTTCATCCATTGGATGGATGGTCGCAAAGCTTGCCATACCATGTCTACCCGTTCATTTTTCCGTTGCAGAAAGGTGCATACCTCGGACTGTTTATTTTTGTTACTATTTGGACAGTGCTGATCCGTGAGTGCTTTCTGATATCCATTGAGCCGATAGCATGATGGCTTACATTAATTCGGACAGATGACGCCGAATACCTGCCAGCATCGGCGATAATCAATGGCGCTTCTTGTCATACAATGCACCACTTGTATTTCAACTACAATTATGGTCAGTTTACAACGGCATGGGATCGTCTCGGAGGAACATACCGGAAACCCAAGGGTGATGATTTCATGGAAAACCAGCAGAAACCCGTAGACAAGCGTGATTGAGACGGGGATCTCTAGAGGGCGTGTTTTGTATTTAAATGTACTATAATAGTCGGCCGCTTATGCCACCTCTGTTCTTGACAAGGTCGTCATTTGGCTCGAGCTGATATCAATATTCAAGATAACAATACAATGTATTCTTGGGCATCCTCTTGTTTTCAAGGAAGAAAACAATTACTTGCAAATTTCAGCATACGTTCGGCGAAAAACGGATTTTCCATGTACAACATTGGACTATATTATATTTCTATTCAACATCTATGGCGTGCTTTGATGACACCATTGAATGAATTCATTCAAATTTCCCAAGTCATCGGTAGCAGTATTATCCATATACCGAAGGCTGACATCAGATCTGCCAGTAGCATCCAGCGTGGCATTCAACAACCACCAAAGCTCCTGAGCGTGTTTCGGATATCCAAGGTGAAGGAATTGATCCTTATCCAGGAGACCAATAACAGAATCCCAGATGCGCCTCCAATTACCAGACGCACAGCGTATTCTATCGAGCGATAAATATCTTAATAATCCAGCTCTCGCCTGGAATGCGAGGGAGTTAATGGCTATTGTGATACCGTTAGCAATCCAATCGATCCTCTAGCTTCAGCGATCAACATGCCATAAATCAGAATCAGAAGATGCTCCACCGATACCGAAAGACCCCATGGTATTGGGTCATTACTTGTAGGGGTTTCAAGTAACTGCGTGACCACATCTTTCAGTGGAGGAAGTGGGAGCTCTGTCGAGTGGGACATGGCAATTTTGCTGAAAGAAGATGCGTTTTCGGCTTCCCATAACCCGGCACTCCAAGGGAAATGACAGTCCATCTCAAACACAGATATTGATGGGTTGTTTTTGAAGCAGACTGTGAGGAATCCATCCGCTAGAAAGACCCAACACGCGATTCTTGGAGCCTGTTAGCGACACACCTCGAAAGAAAAAGACAATATAATAAAGAACGGGATATAAATTACCGTATACACACTTCTTCTGCCACTAGATTTCTCCAAGTTCTCTCGTCACAAACGGTGGGAGCGGTTCCCCGCTTGAGCTGGAAAATCCCCAGGGATCGGATGGTTGATACCAAACATGGATGTCGGACGATACGAATGCGACGTCTTGTTTGCATATTGTCTTGTCCAAATTGAAGCATCTCAATAATGAGAGCACTCTGTAATAGCTGCACAGTTGATAATAGATGCGACTGATCTTTCGGTGAAGCGAGTGTTGATAGGTCCGCGATTTTCCGAAATATATACTCTTCTGCGACATCGAAGAGACCGGATGGTAGGGCTCCTCCATCCAATGGAATAGTATATGTGGCACCGGATAAGAATATTGAGAGTAAAAGAGGATTGGAAATGTTTCCTGGGTCGAAAGTTGGAAAATGCACCACGGGTAAATGCCAGTGAAGAGAGTGGAAGAACGCAGAGATAGAAGCAGAAATATTGGAAACTCCCAGCAAAGTAGAAAGTTCCATAAAATCAAGGGCGTTTAGCGTTCCTGTGCTTCCGAGACCCATTGACTTTGAAGTATCGACCAATTCTGTCATAATCTCGGATAGTTGGCTGGAAAGCTTTGAAGGGAAGAGTGTATCAGGGCTGAAGTGAAGTAGATAATCATCTGTGAACGAGGGCAGAGTCGATGGTATTTGGAAAGGGAAATTTGTAAGTTGAAAATCACCACCAAAATCTGACATAGGATCAGTGGGAATGAGGGCATCTTCGATATGGGAATTGAGTGCTTCAAGGTTTCTTCTAACAGAACACTTTGCCGTTTCCCCGATCGCCAGCCTGTCCTTTTGGAAAGACGGATTGGCAAAATGCTGGAGGAAAGAAAATGATCCGCTGCCTGTCGGGGTGACTCGGGATGTGGGTATAGAAGGCGAGAGTGAGGTTACCGTAGAGTAACTGGAATCCCGGGAAGGTGTCTCTTGGGCCACGAAAGTGCATTGTCGTCCAAGAGAGCGACAGCGAGAGCATGGTAGATTCCTGTCGCAAGATGCTTTGGCAAAGAAACATAGCTCACAGGACTGCCTTTTCCTACCTGGTTTGGCTGCAGGAGGCGCAGGTTGGTTAAACTTTTTTGCACAGGTTTTGATATGTCTTCGAGTAACCTCACTTTGGAAAAATTAGATAAAGTATTCATTATTCATGGTAACAGTACTTTACACACGGCTTTAGAAATGATTTGCTGCACAAAGGGCAGCTGGAAGAGAGCAGCTGTGTATCTGGGAGGTGGTCAGCCTATTCATATTTTTAAATCGAGGTCATTCGATCTTCGATCTTACGAGTCGATTCATGACGAATCAAATGAGTCTTCCTCTGATAGGCTTTTTCGCATAGTGTACATTGGAACATGGTGCTCAAAACAGCCTTTGTCTCAATAGCTGAGTGAGAAAAAGAAAGGAAAGGGGAAGTGGGCAGCTACGGGAGTCAGCGCGTGGACGAATGCCACCCGTGCGTGGCCGCATCTTTCACAAATTGGCAGATTAATTCTCAAGTCGCACAAATTCGGAGTTCAATTTCAACAGGATATTCTATTATTGTCTTAGGTGAGAATATTAGATGGGAACAGAAGGGAACAATGACTATACCGATCAACATTTGTCATTTGTCATTTGTCATTTATCATTTATCATTTATCATTTATCATTTATCATTTATGCGGGCAATGTAGGTCCCAGTACTCCAGGGTACGGAGTAGAACTTTAATACTTCTGTACTACCAAACACAAATGGGGCTGGCTGTACGGAGTAGGCCATGCCATGCTATGTAGAGCCTGCAAGGGTACGTGATAAACAACAACAATGCGGCATACTAAGAGTTGCTAATGAAATGCTTCCTGGCGGGCCGGGCCAGAAAAAGATTTCTGATCTTGTATTTCTGATCAACAGTTCGAACGTGGGAGTATCTTTAGTTCTCGGTTTGTTATCTACACAATTTCCAATCATCTTTGAAAAGTTGCGGACATCCATGAAGACCGGGTGCTCGGAGCAGGGGTTCCTTGAGCGCTAGTTCCCGGTTCCTAGTTATTTTCCTAACACCATTAAAAGTAAGAGTAAGCTGAGCTTTAGAGACCTATTTCAGCGGCTGGGGGAAAAATCAACGGAACGTTCCGAACCCCTGGCGTGCACGGAACCTGAGTGCACCGAATTCGATCATCAGTGGAGCTATACAAAATCTTGGAATTTAAGGTATCATATCGACCAGTCAAGAAAGCCCGTATCGCTCGAGCACACGATGCATTGCATAATTATCGATCTGTACATATACTGTCGAATTTTGTGTAGAACTTTATGCTTGAGGAAATACACAACAGACTTATGAAGACGCCAGGACGAAGCGGAGAATCACAGGTAATCATGCACACCAACTGTAGATCATGCTCCACATGCGGAAACAGACGTTGTGGGTCTCCTAAGATCGAAAAAGATCGAAATGGCGGTGGGGTTCGCATCTCTAGCGCAGCCAAGGAGGTCAAGCCACCCCAAAGGCTAATGAACCATGGAGGTAATGCGGAATTTAGATCCTAAGATTTAATGTTGGTGCAATATTTCGGTGTCCGAGGATTCGATGCAGCGTTAATAGAAAGGGAGTACAGAGCATTTTGCGTTGGAAAGAAAAGCGAACAGGACTTGATTGGCTTCAAATTAGTTTAGACATGCAGTGTGCCTGACTAGAGACCCTTGCACTCCGAGAACCGGGGTTCTGCATTAGGTAGGAGGCGCATGATGGCTGGTCTATTGGTGTTACGGAGGACTTGAATTTAATGAACTAGTATTTTGCTGGTCCGATTTAGGATTGTTCGGCTTATTTCCCCGAATAGCCCTATATTGAAACCCGTACCTTGCTTGGGGGTAGCCCCTGAACTGAGATATCATGAGCACAAAGAACTGCTTGAGATACGTTGTGCATATGGGCTTGTGTGGCGGGACTAGTTCGGGCTAGGCCTCGGGAAGTAATCAAATAAGGCGCTAATTGCATTAGCGGCCCAGAAGTAAAGTGATAGGTCTAGCATAAGGTTTGAATATCAGGTTTGCTTCATTGACCAACTCGTCACAATTGAGGAAAATGAGGAGTAGGCAACCAATCAGAAAGTTATCTACAAGCAAAATGGGCCGATCTGGTCTTGTGCTTCCTATTTGGCGTTCTCTTTTGGGCTAGGCAATGGTCTGTGATGTAGGTCGACGTTTCCTCCCCTATTTTTAAGATTGCTATAATGACTGCCGGATGGGTTGTCATATATAAGGCTGTCTGTCTCTCACATTTATTTCTGTTCTTCATCTCTGCGTTGTTGGCTTTTTTGACCTATCACTCGTTTTTGCTGGTATCATTCAGCGTCCATTCTTTATTTCACTTTGAATATACTTCCAACCCGCAACGATGAAGCAATCTATGATTACTTCACTCGTAGCTCTCGCAGCATCATGTTCGGTAAGCCGGCCCCGCAGTTATTTGCTGTTGTAATTAGATGTGCAGCTAACAGATTATGCTATTGTATAGGGAGTCCAAGCTGCTGATGGCTTGATCAACGTGCCCGTCAATCTTTGCGCAGCCATCCTTGGAGAGGCTGAATGCAAGCAGAAGGCAGCCACCGTTGATGGCTTGATCAGTGTGCCTGTTAACGCTTGTGCTGCAGTTCTCGGAAAGGCCAAGTGCGAACAGGTTTCTTTGTCTTCTAGGAGCCTCGGTGGTGGGCTGATCAACGTGCCCGTCAATCTTTGCGCAGCTATTCTTGGGGAGGCCGAATGCCAGCAGAAGGCAACCACCGGCGATGGCTTAGTCAACGTGCCCGTTAACGCCTGTGCTGCAGTTCTCGGAAAAGCCAAGTGTGACCAGGTCGCTTCCGCCGGTAGTGACAGCGGCAGCAGTGGCAGCAGCGGCGGTGACGGTGGCCTAATCAACGTGCCCGTCAATCTTTGTGCAGCCATCCTCGGAGAGGCTGAATGCAAGCAGAAGGCAACCACCGCTGATGGCTTGGTCAACGTGCCCGTTAACGCGTGCGCTGCAGTCCTTGGAAAGGCTAAATGCGACCAAGTCGCTTCCACTGGTAGTGGCAGTGGCAGCAGCGGCGGTGACGGTGGCCTGATCAATGTGCCCGTTGGACTCTGTGCAGCTATTCTTGGAGAGGCCGAGTGCAAGCAGAAGACAGCCACCAGTGGTGGCTTGATCAACGTCCCTGTCAACGCATGCCTGGCTGTCCTTGGAAAGGCCAAGTGTGACCAGGCCTCTTCCTCTTCCAGCGGCGGCGAGGGTGCCCTTATCAATGTGCCTGTCAACGTTTGCCTGGCTGTCCTCGGTGAGGCTCACTGCCAGCAGAGCTCCGCATCTAATGGTGGTCTGGTTAACATCCCCGTCAACCTGTGCCTAGCCGTTTTGGGTGAAGTCGACTGCCATGATTCATCATCTACCCCTCCCCCGGCCACTGCCACCCCATCTTTCCCCTTGACGCCCACTGTCCCGGTCGTTATTCCCGGCCAGGCCACTACCCCAGTCGTCATTGTGCCGGGTGAGACCACCACTCCGGTCGTCATTGTGCCGGGCGAGACCACCCCTGCTGTCATTGTACCAGGCGAGACCTCCATTCCCGGTGTTGTACCCGGCGAGTCTTACACCCCTGCCTGGACTGGCCCTGCAGGACCTGGCTCTGTACCCTCTTATGGTGGTGCCTCCGCTTCGGTTCCCACATATACCTATGTTCCTTCTGCCACTGTGGGACGCCCATCCCCAACCGGTGCTTGGACTCGTTTGACTCCTACCTTCACTAATGTCGTCACTGTCTGCAATGCTGCCTGCCAAGCATCCAAGGCTTCTACCGGCCCCGTGGCTCACACTTCTCCTGCTTCCGGTGGCAGCGGCAACAAGCCTAACGCCACCCCCAGCCCCAGCATCATTCCGTTCAACGCTGCGGGTCGGGCTACTTTGTCCGGTGTGGCCGTGGTGTTCGGAGCCATCTGTGCTGCTGCCATGCAGATCTAAGTGGTGATCTAAGTTTAGATACTAATTAAGGCTGTACTTGGTGGCGGCAGTTGGGATCGCTCAGTGAAGATTTTTGGTTCCTGTTGCGTTGGACATATCAGTCCGTCTTTCCTTATTCTCCTTCTATGTTCAATGGTTCGGATCAGCACGAGTTAATATAATTCTACGATATACGTTTCTCAATTGAGGCTCTTGTTCTCAAAGCTTTCTATTGTACATGAATAAAATGTACCTTTTGACGGAGGATTTTTCTTGATTTTAACACCAGTTTCTTTCATAGTAGTATAACACAAATTTCACAAATTTTTTGTTAACTTTCCTATCACAAGATATTAAACTCCATGTGTGAGTGCTCCTAAGTCAATGCGTATATATTTATTGGTGGCATAATGAGGGTGACTCACACCACTGTGCAATTACGGGCCATTCTTTGAACTATCATTTACCTGCTAAACTGGTTTCGTTTCCTGGTGTGGATTTAGAAAAGTGGAAAATCAACTCGATAGGCGTGTTAAGAATCTATGATTTCCCGGATGAACTAATAATAGACCGTATGATACATCATACGCTAGGTCTGTAGGGGAAATATAGGGGGTAGTGGCAGCTCATATTACTTACTATTGAACTTTAGTAGAGTGCGAGTAGGATAAATGTTTGCTATTGGATAGACGTGGCAAAACTCATTAGATGTAAGACTTATTAGATACGCAAAGCTACGTAAGGGCGAGCTAGCTATTCGGTCTTAATTCCGGACCATTCTTTTACAATATGTTCTCTGCAACGCCGAGGGCAGTGAGAGGATCCATACCTATCCTGGAAAGCCTTACTCAAGGGTATGAGGTTGCCATGAGCCTTTCTACATTCTAAGGTGTCCTTAACAAATATACACAGATGGTGTTTGCATGATGCTGTGGGGCTTATTGACAGGCAGTCAATAAGCGCCCGGAAGGCACGTACGTCTATCTTTAGCTTGTTATCCTGTTGTCACAGAACTTCCGATGGTAATTTGGTGGGCTATAAGTTTCAGACTGGCAATAAGCTGTTGAACGTCCTAAATAGCACCCATGAACCCTGGAGCTAAGAGCCCCGTGATGGTTCCAGTCACGAAGTAACCTTAGAATGCTGTCCCCAGGCGGTGTGCCGGGTGTCGACGCGAAGGTTTGTGGAGAGTTCAGCATCGCATGGTTGCTGATGGTTGCTGCCATCGGTCCGATATTAGCTTCTGCTCAGCTTATGCCAACAACACTGGACATTGATGGAGATTAACCTCGTTAATCTGTCGTTATTTTCCGTTTGGAGCAGACTGAAATAGATATTTCTGTTAGATCAAGGCCGCAATTCAAAATGGAAGAGAACAAAAGCAAGCGGAGTCAAAAGGTTGGAGGCAAAAATGACAAAAATTCCTCTGACCCGGGATCGAACCAGGGACCTCAAGATAACAAGTTCCTTGCAGAACAGGGCAATTACAGTCTTGCGCTCTTCCAGCTGAGCTATCAGAGGAGATTATTGGAAGCTTTCAGATTTTAGGCATTGCAACTCATTTATTGTGGGGCTTTAAACTCCCATCTCTACGTAGTATAAAATCCGTGTCAACTGGAGTCTCTCGTGAAATCCAATTTTTACGATCTCACCAAGCAATAATCACGCTGATAACTTGGCATTTTGGTTCTTTATATTTTGAAAGCGTAGTGCGTCAATCACTTTCGGAAGACAATCTCACGATGATAAGAAATATAATTTAACATCCATTCTAAAGGCTCGTGTATGCTCGCCTCTACAAACTTTGACCTAACCAAATTTCAATGGCTTTCTTCCAAGAAAAGTCTTTTGTGGGCTTTTGCAAGATATTCAGATTATCACGACGAATTTTGAGAGCGAGGCTTTGACGGGAAGCTGACTAGAAAACATATTCTTGTTTAGTATTTTCCTCTTTCGAAATGTTCTTAAAAAGTTGTATGTTGATTTTGGTTCACTAAGCAGGTTCTTTGCCATCTTTGTTGGGGGGACTGTGGACAGTTTACTTGCACAGCTGAATTATCCGCGTGTGAGAGTACGACAACAAGCCCTGGTTTCCCCACTCGCCTCCAATCCCACTCTGCTTCCAGCCAGAACAGTAGCCATATGGGTTGGGAGCTTCAGCGCTATTGATCCATACTGTTCCAACCTCAATTTTCCGCGCAATCTGCTCCGCAGTAGCAACATCATTGGCCCACACGCAAGCCCCTAACCCAGTACATGTCCCATTGACCCTTGGAATCACTTCATCCTCAGTAGACCACATCATCAGTGGAATGATAGGACCAAACTGCTCCATTTGGACGATGCGAGAATCATCCGGTGGTCGATCCACAACAACAGGTGCGATAAAGAGCCCTGGCTGCTCGTCATCGGCTTTCCCCCCGCAAAGTAAAGTGTAATTGTTTTCCTTGCAATCAGCGATGAGATCTTTGACTACCTTGTACTGTAGCCCATTTTGGACGGGACTAAACAGAGGTGACTGGTCATCAGAAGGGTCGATTTTGATGTTCGTCACTGCCCCCACAAAAGTCTCACGGAATTCTTGGAAAATAGCCTCATGCACATAAACCCTTTTTGTAGCAACGCACATTTGGCCCGAATGGAAAAAGGACCCCGCAGCAACCTTAGCAGCAACGGTTTTGACATCAACATCGGGGCAGACGACACTTGCATCGTTTCCACCGAGTTCGAGTGTCACTCGTTTCAGAGTCTTGGCCGCGCTTTCAACTACCTTTTTCCCTGTCGCGATGGATCCGGTAAAACTAATCTTGTCGATTCCTGGATGAATGGAAATGAGTCGTCCTATATCACTCTCTCCGTTGAGTGCTTGGAGTAGACCCCGCGGAAGCACGGATGTCGCAAGCTCAACGAATTTCAAAGTGGCACATGGGGTGAATTGCGACGGTTTGACAATGACGGAATTTCCCATGACGAGCGCTGCAGCAACCTTACCAGCGGCTAAGACGAGCGGAAAATTCCAAGGGCAAATCGCACCCACCACTCCTATAGGATGGTAGGTAGACACGATCTTGAGGGTCTCAGTTTCGTAATCCACTTTATTGGGCAACGACTGCGATGCTGAAACAGTAAGCTTTCTCACCTAAGAAATATTTCTAAATGTAGATTTGAAATACCATTAAATCTGATAAACGCCAGGGTGTCATCAATCTCCATGTTTGCGAGGAAGTTCTGGGAAGCTTCTTAGAAATCTTTCCGGTGTTCACAATATGGAAGGGATATTTTACGGATTTTCCGGTCTCTCCTGCTAAACAAGGCTGTACTTCACCTCTTCGATGTTCTAGCTCATTGGCTAGTTTGAGTAGGTACTTCTGTCTTTCTTCGATAGACAAGAGCTTCCATGATTCAAATGACACTCTTGCAGCATTCACTGCGTCATCAAGGTCCATCTCATGTCCGACTGTCACCTCCCAGAGAGCTTCGTTTGTCTTGGGATTCATGACTGTTACGGAATCTCCGGACCGGCGCTCCGAGTTGATAATATTGTAGAACATTTCGAGATCTCAGAAAAAGACAAAGACTCAACCTTAGAACCTCATACAGCTGAAAGCTGAGTTAAGTATAAAATACCGGGTGAATAGTGGGTCAACAAGCTTCTCCCACATCTGTGACGGGATTTCTACATCATTTCACACCGACTCGGATATTAGGTGAGAGCGGGCTGACTTTGGAGACTTCGAATATGAAAAAATAGGTTCTATAATTAATGAAGGAGCTGACGTCGAGATGATGTTGAGGGATACCGAGAGGGAAATATGCCCGAAGTTTGGATGATTACCAGCGGGAAAGGAAATTGCTAGAGAAGGTTGAACTGCACGCTTAGGTGGGCTCCTGAATTAAATCTAGGGTTGTCGTTGGCGGTTAAACATTCCGGTTATGAAATAATTACCGTTACCAATTATCCGTGTCAAATCTCCAAGTTACGATAAGCTCCAGTTCAGGACAAAGAGTGCCATCGTATCAGGTCGTTGTGGTCCTTCAAAATGTAAGGAACTCTGTTTCCTCGATGAGGGGGGTTGATGAATATTGTCTCTGACAAATTGCTCTTCAGCAAGGTCCGAAGTCCTCCGAGGAGACACAGAAACTCGCGATCCCAACCATCGATCCCCTAGAGGTACTCGTTGAATTAGATGTCACTAGATTTTGTGGGACCGATCTTTCACTCGTCCCCGGCTATCTCGGTCCATGCTTCCATGCCAAATGATTCTAGGTCACGAGGATAGGCCGTATCTCCGCCGTAGGCTCTTCGTGCACAAGCGAGGCACCTACGGTAGGCCGTCTGGTCGGTGTTGGCTGGATTCGTGGTTCATGTTGATACCGCGTATGTGACAGGGATATAAAAGACGAGACACGGTGTCTAGAACAGGTTTTCACTGGACGTAATGTACCCAGTGCCCTGGCCAGGTATATCGTCGTACTAGAGAGATATATCATGCCTCTGCCCGATGGAGTCTCTAGCAAGATGCTGGCGCCAGTAATGTATGCTGGTGTTACGTGTTATAACGCACTTAAGACGGCAAACATCGTAACAGGTGCGTGGGTTGGTATTTCTAGCGTTGCAGGTGCAGCGGGATCTCTAGCATTATCATATGAAAGCAGATTAGATATCAATCTATCGCAATTGACAGAGGAGAGCAGCGAAGACCTCTCTTCATGGATGCAGGAGCAGAGGTCTATTTAGACTTCACAAGAGAGGACAGTCTAAGGAGCGCCGTGATCATGAAAACGGAGGGCAGGCTTTGTTCTGCGATCATAGTATGCGCTGGGGTTGCATCGGCCTACGAAGAGGTGTTGAATTTTCTGGATTACGACGGAAATCTGGTTGCCGTAGAAATCCCTCCACCTGCCTCAAAGATGTAACTTCATCCCCTCTCTTTAATCGACTATGGAATTCCATGGTGATGGTAATCCAACATATGATTACAATTTTGATGATGTTCGAAATGATGACCACAATAATCAATGGAAGGCTGTTCCTGTACCCTCCATTGTCTGGGTCTACAAGCAGCTCCGATACAAGGCTTGTGCATCTTCGCTCCGAAAAAGCGTTACCGTATGAAGAACATATCCAGGCGTAAGGGTCGGTTTCAGGTGTATTATGATCCGTGAGATTGCCGAAGTCTTTGGTAGTTGAATTATAATCGTCCGAAATAAGGAGCAGGTTAGCATAATTCGTCTGAAACCCACCTGCATATCTAGACATACACTCGCTATTGTTGAAGCGCTCAAGGTTTCCGTTTATGTCCTTCTCCAGAAGTCTTGAAAATGTCGCATTAGGCGAGATTTGACCAGGGAGTTTCACATTGTTTATACTGAAGCTAGAAACGGGTTTGTTTGCCACAAGCACTTGGTACTTGTAGACTGAGAGGGTCTGGAAAATGGTAGAGTTATACCTGGTGGGCAGAAAGATGAGACATTACACTCGCTGGGAATCTCGCGAATAACATCAGAGACTTACATGAGATGGAAAGGGAGAGATGAAAAGGCCAAACAGATCCAAAGAAAGAGCTTTATCCGGGGAATATGCCTGAGATTCCGTATGCTTTACACGCCAATATCCAGCCATATCCCTCTAGAGTGGGCATAATCAATAATTGATATCCAAGTGTTGGTTTGCAGAAGAAAGAATAGTGAATCTTTTGTGTTTAATAACGTACATCGAGGCTGAGATGCACAATAGTACGATGCTCAGGCTGTGATTGTCGATCTTCTATCCCGCCCCCTATAATAGACTTCGCCTTTTGAGGGCCACAAAATTTTGCTCATTTTCTCCTACGCAAATTAACAGGATGGGAAACATTCCTGGTTTCCTTCTCAGTTCTTGTGTGGGGGCGTGTGGTGTTTATTCTAAATCACATAAAGCAAAACGTGACCATCAATAGTGAGTTTAGCCTCCATAAGAAAAAAATGTAACGTATTTCACAAGCGAGTGGCCACCACAAGCGAGCGGCCACCTCGGAAACACATAGTAGATACGATAGGTTACAACTTGATATCCTAACAACGGTGATCTATATAGGTATTTCCTTATATCCTTATACTTTTTAGGCGATATTTAGTATCTTTACGGAATTTTAAGAATATATATAACTTAGTGATTAAGATATATATGTTTCTAGCTTTTTATAACGTAAACGGCTGACCTGTGAATTACTGGATGCGGTAAGTTTTGCGTAAGTTACTTCACCGTTTAAAATTTTCAATGTCATCATTGAACTGTACTGACTTCCTATACTGACTTCCATCTGCAGCATCTGCGCGAAGAGCAAGATATCCAATGCCACAACCATACCGATGATCTTAACAAAGCTGGCTTTCTTGAGCAAACTACTAATATCCGAGTCTTCAAGTGCCGTAGCATTCACGTCTATCACGTTGGATGACAAGGGAGTCTTTCCTTTAATAGCAAAATTGTGTAACTATAGGATTATGTCCAGGTGCATACTTTCTGTAAATTATGTCAAGTTGATTTCGAATATGACTATAAATTTACTATTTACTAGTATATCGTTGAGCCATGAAGATTCTCGTTACCCTAGGAAGTCCTCTAGTTAGCACGATATTTTATAGATTTATAAAATATCTCCGCAAACTTCAATAAGAGTAAGATAAGCTGAAGCTGAATAATCCAACAGACCGTGACGTCTAACACGCATGAATATAGCCTCCATTGGCTTTGCAAAAGCCCGTCTAAGAATATAAACATAGCCATCAACGGGGCCATAGTTAAATCATCCGCCACGCTATGAGGTTACTCATTAAACGTTGATACCATTGTATAGAAGCTTGCTCGTAGTGCCAGAAGGAGCCCTGGAGATAGACGAGGTAGCAAGCTCGACAAGGCGTGCACAAGCTTTATCAGCTGTCACGCCCTCGAGAGCAATCAGATATGCAGCAACACCAGCAACGTGTGGAGCTGCCATGGAGGTTCCAGACAGGGTCTTTGAGCCACCACCAGGGTATGCAGCTGTGATACCCTGCCCGGGAGCATAGAGGTCCACTGTAGTAGTACCGTCAGTACGCTGCTTTGACTAGAAAAATTCTTCAAACTAAGTGGAGGTGGAGCTCTTACCAACAGATCCGAAGTTAGTGAATGAAGCACTGCCGTCTGAGCTGGTAGAGGCCGCGATAGTGCATACTTCCGAAGCAGAAGCAGGGGAGCTGTTGCTCGCATTCTCGGCTTCATTTCCAGCAGCAACAGAGAGGAAGATACCGGACTTAACAACATTGGCAGCGGCGTCATTCATAGCCTTGGAGAATTCGCCACCAAGAGACATATTCATAACAGACTTTCCAGTGACCCCGCGAGACTTTGCATCTTTAACAGCCCAGTCCATACCAGAGATGACACCCGAATTAGTGCCAGAACCATCGGCACCAAGGACCTTGACAGCAACGAGAGAGGCCTTCTTTGCAACACCGTACTTGCTACCGGCTGCAGTAGATGCAGTGTGGGTGCCATGGCCATTTCCATCGGTATTATCATTATCAACAGTGTTAGTACCCCACTTAGCGCGGCCCCCGAAGTCGGAATGTGAGATATCAATCCCGGTGTCGACGCCGTAGATCACGACGCCCTCACCGGCAGTGGAATCATACACATAGTCGGTAGCACCAGATTTCTTGCTAGATATGCGACCAAGACCCCATGAAGGAGCATTAGATTGAACCACGTTCGCGGTTGCGTTCACAATCATGTCTGGTTCAATGTACTTCACCTATATTTCCACGAGTTAGACTGCAAAAAGCTCCCGAGGAGTCAAGATTGGTATTGAAGGAACATACCGCCGGGTCATTGGCAATATCCTTGACGGTATCCTCGTCGAAGCTAGCGCTGTACCCTTTCAGGCCATTGATTTCGAAATGCTTTCCTGGTCCAGTCTCGCCATTCTTGCGGCGAGAAAGACGAGCATGAACATTTGCAGCCCAGTCACGATGCGTTTTAAACTCAGCGGTACTAACGTCATCGTTCATGACAACAATGTAGGAGCTAGGAATGACCGCGTCGGTATTACTGGCGGTAAGAAGAGTACCGGCATCGACGACTGCTAGAGTTGCAAGGAACGTGACGAGGACCTCGAGGAAACCCATGATTGTAGCTTGAAATGATATAGATCTGAATAATATAATTTTAAAACCCAGGAAGATGTTGAATAGAATCCTCAACTTCGGGACAAAAAGTTCTTTTTTAAATATACAGAGAGTTTGGAGAGATACTCATCGCCGCCGGTATTCCGGTCTCAACTCCATCTCTATTATCATAACCTGAGGATGAGAATGATGAGATATCCTGAGCCCCGACGGAGAATCAGTAGATTAAACGGAGTAACTCATCGCTTTAGCCAACGATCTTTCTTTGATTAAGTGACCAAGGAAATGCCAAGGTGCCAAGCAATTACGATTGTAACGCTCCCCTCGCCAACGCAAGATTTGCAGAAATAGCGATTGTCTATAGCAAGCCTAGTCCCAGATGGCTATCATAGGAGGTAACCACAGGGGATTGCGGGCTCTAGGGCGCATCTAGCCGTTGAGGAATTTAATCTTCGTGTTGAAGATTCTAGCGGAGAAGGTGTGATTGTGAATCTTGGCGACTGATTTTTAAATCAATTGCGACTCTTTGCCCGTCGGTAGTCCGAATAGATGGTGAAGGGTCTTGGCTAGGTAGCTACTGCGAAAAGGCGTATTCCACACAGGAGCCCAAGCAATTCAGGGCATGAAGAGCATAAGTGTGGTGAAGAATGCCAAAGTATATTAGTAGCTTTGTCTTGCGCTATCTCGATATTTACTAGTATATGTAACCTCATTGATGTGGGTTATTGCGTTAGAGATATACCCCGAATTAAGTAGAACCATGGTCCAAGTAGGAAAACGACGGTCTAATTAGAACCACTCAACATACTGTATCTACTGTACTGCAGCTAAGCCAGATTAGTAATAAGTCCGAATATGGCTTCGTGATCTGACCCGAGTTAAAATTATCAAAGCTCCTGCATGACTTCACTTCGGTTTTTTGATTATATAAGTAAGGATCGGCAGCCCCTGCACGGTAAGGCAGCTCGACACATCACATATACAAGGCGAGAACCATTTCATTGGTTTATGGTAAATCCCCAGTCTCACTTGGCACATGATGACTTAGTTATTGGCAGAACATGCTATTTCCGTAGCGCCACTTTCCCACCCTTTTTTCTTCATCCTCCGCACTTCTTACTCCACTCCTCAGCATACCACTGCCCCGGTTACCAATAGCCCTGACACAGTTGACTTATGTCAGTATCTCGGAGTCCCGATGATTACAAGATGGGGTGGATATGCGCACTGCCGCTTGAAAATCACTATTAATATCTATCTATCTTTATTAATTTAATAAATACTCTAAACTTTATAGATAATAATAGCTTTATAAAACTATCTGTAATATTGCCCTCTACTATAATATACCTTATAATAATAATCTCTCCTTTACGTATAAGATTACAAAGTTACGGCCGTTTCTGGCGCCAAAACAGGCCATTTTCGGCGTCGATTTTATAGGTCCTCAGATTCTATATGTAATTTTCGGTATTTTTTGAAATAGCGATAATATAGCCTTCTACTTTCTTTGAAATTGATATAAAGTATTAATAAGTCTTATCAATGACTATCGACAAAGGAGGAGATAAAACAATAACATGGTTGTTAAAATATAAATGTAGAATAAATCATATCTACTATATGTTTTCGAGGTGGCCGCTCGCTTGTGATGGCCACTCGCTTGTGAAATACGTTATGATCAACGTGTTAAGAAGTTTAGGGGGCTAGGTTTCTAACCCCGCATAACTCGTATAGTTGGCAAAGCGGCTAACTATATAGTGATCGGCCTGATATAGAACACTTGTGGGTGTCAAAGCTTTCAGCTAAGCAATGCGGCCAAGATTTTCACCTGCTTCTCAACCACATGCTCACCCAATCTATAGCGCACTCACTTTTCTTAACCCGCGACGCTCTCATATCCACTACCTAATTATTTGCACTTTATAATTCTCATCAGCACGAAACATGATACATACGACCATAGGGTGTGGAAAACAGGGCTTCCCGTCCGCTCAGCCGTACTTAAGCCACACGCCGGTGAGTTAGTAGTTGGGTGGGTGACCACCAGCGAATCCTCACTGTTGTATGTTTTTTTTTGCTTTTGCTTGCTTGTTGAATATTAGTTGGTAGGTGGGTGGAAGCCAGCCCTGCTAGGTAAATTTTAGAAAATAATGACCGAGACCAAAATCCAAAAACTCCTTATTGAACAACCGCATAAATCTCCAATGCATCATACAACCTTCCAAAAACGCCCCCATGCCACCCTCTAACCAATTCCCACTCCTCACCAGGCAAAGTCTTGCTCGCCATCCTCAACCAAGCCCCAACAATAAGATCCGCATAGTTAGCCCGATCCCCAAGTAAAAACGGCCCATTGCCACCAAAAAGCTTCGCCAGTCCCTCAAACATATCTCGAAAGGACTCAATGAGCTTCTCACGCTGTTCGTTTGTAATAGCAAAATCCTCCCAACAACTCATACCAGCCCGCCGAACAAACTCAGCCTTCGTCTCCTTGGCAGTTGCAGGATCAAACGATAGCCCTTGGACCATGAGTGCGACGTGCGTGGTGAATGCAGCGTCGATATTCATATTGAAGCGGGCATATTGGGGGTATTCACCCTCGTCGCACTCAGACAACGGAATTGGAATCGCAGTATCCGGACTGAAGGCGTAATCCAGGGACTGAGGCGGGAATAGATCGTTTCCGGATGGGTAGTGCTTTTGCAGGTAAACGGCAATGTCGAAGGAGTCGCCGAGTTTGCGGGATGTTGTGGGGTCCACTAAGATGGGAAGAGTGTGGAAGTCTGTGCCGTCGGCGAATTTGCGGCATGCGGGGATACCAAGGCTTGTCCTGACACTAGATACCTCGGGGAGTTTGACCCAATTGGTTATGTAGGGGACAGATTTGAAGTTGAGAGCTAGACGGGTCTTCCAAGGGTTTACGGCGCTATTGTTCTTTTCGACTGGGGGGCACATGGCAATGTCATAAAACACGAGTTTGGTGTCCATAGTGAGGAATTGATTGAGTATCCTTCCTGAATATGTAGTTTCGAGTGTAGATGTTGAAGAGGGGAACGCTCAAGGCTGTATGCTCTGCGACATACGGGTCGATTCAGCACTCGTAGTTCAGCTTCACACCCGACTTTGCATACAAGGGAACCCAGGGGTGTCAACCTAGAAGTGGATTCAGAGAGGTGTAGGAGTGTGTATTCTCAATCTGTATCTACCTGCTACTTGTAACCTCATAATCTCAATGCTTACATAACAACATATGGAAAAAGAAGAAGAGGCAAGGGTAAATGCGTAGTGGGGTGCCTATTTCCCCACTACAATGTCTAGATATCTCGATGCAAGGAATGTGCGAAGGGTTTGGAGGGTATTGTCATGTGGTTCCGTTTCTCCAGCAACGGAGTACTTCCTCTCATTATTTTTCCTTGTCTCGTTGATAGCACAGTTGTATTTTTGTCTTATTTTTCGCTGTGTATCGTCCTAGAACATTAACGTAGCTGTAGAGTGACATGATGCCGCTAGCGGGGCTCAACTCACGATTCCAACACTTAGATTTGGACTAGAAAAAGAAGGGTCACTTCAATGCTGCTTACGGAGACTACTAATAAAGCGACTACTGGGAGAGTTTGTTGAGTCGTCAGAACAAGATGTTAGAGAGAGGGAGAGATAGTAATTTATCAGAGGAAGAGAAAAGCTCTCAAGACTACCTAGTTACAACTAACTCTGAAATATACCAACCAGACATGACGGTTATGTGCGTATACCAAAGATTCCTTCGACCAGTTTCTAAACTCAAGAAAGGCGAAGATAACTGGTCTGAGAAGTGTTGAAATACGTGTCCCTTCGTACTTCAGAGCACGCGCAGACAAAAATCTCTACGTCAAGTGAATTGAAAATGGAACAGATGACAGCCGCAAGGTCTAAAATCATTTGCCAATTCCAACCGTCTTTTCAGCTGTCTTCTGGCGTCATTCAGTCTCGCATCCCCCTACTCCTATCTTCGATCGTAAAGTTCAAAGGATCTATTACGTGGGAAGAGCAGATTACTCCTTTGATATCGGCGACAAAGAAGCTTAGGTTATCAACCTGGTATATAGCTATGGTATGGTATGATAGGGGCAGAAGGAAAGAAGAGAAAACAGAGCGATTGCACTGTGTAGAGAGATAGAGATCACGGGTCTTCTTCGCCTTCTTATCTTCTCTTATATAAAGCCTCAGGTAGGCTATGGTGGGAAGTGCTCTTAGTTGCTAAGTATGAGCATTAGCGATAGAAGATCCTTTGCGATATATTGGATCGGATGTGGTACACATTCAAATGGTGCAAAGTAGCAGACATATGTGCCAGGCGTTAGGGCGCAAGTAGAGATGAAGTGATTAAACTGTAGTGATCATCCTATCTTCGCTATTTTGGACTCCAGTAGTCTAGGGGAGTTGGATTTGCTGGTTCATACACACGTCATCGATACCAATTTATATCTAAAACATGCTCAAAAAAGATTGATAAAAAGATTTTCAAAGCAATATACAAGAATAATGAACTACTGAGGAAGGAAAACAATGTAACGGCCACGAGGGGGGCGAAGCTTGCCCTCGTGAGATATCAAACCTAAACTTGGCAAAGCGTAGTAAGTGCCCTTGTGCCCCGGTTGGCTCAGCTCGAGACTTCCAGTCCTCGGTGAAGCTTCTTTGTTTTGTCAGATAGCCTCCAACAACTAAACTTAGCACCGAAGGAAGATTTGCATTGTAAAAGCAATCACGATCATTCAAGCCTAATTAAAGAACGCATCACGTCTGAGAATTCCGGAAACAACTGATGCTATCTTCCTGTTTCTCCATTGATATTGAACGAGAATTGAAGAAATATTAGGCCACGTAGAGGAAAGCAAGAATATAAAGGACTGATTAGAAGACCAATAGAAAGTTCTGCAGAAATACCAGTACGAAGACTTGAGAAAAAAAGTCAAAACCTCTCATATATACTATCTGGCTATCTCATCACGGATTAGAGGCTCTCTATATACAGGCCTCAAGCGGAAACAGGAGTAATCTTAGCGACTTCCTTCAAATCACGACTACTGAATCCAACACGAAGAACAAACTCGCCCTCAGGGATGAGCCACTTCTGAGAAACAATATCCCAATAACTTAAATCTCTGCGCATCAACTCAAATCCAACAGTCCGCGACTCTCCTGCAGCCAAAGTGACCTTCTCGAAGCCGCGCAGCTGTTTGGGCGGTGTTCCCTCAGGGGTGCTGTCTGGGAAGGTAACGTACAACTGGGGAACGGTAGCACCCTCGACATCACCAGAGTTGGTAATTGAAACAGTCACATTGTAGATAGTCTCCCACAGGGCGGGGTTACCACCGGGCTGAATGGGCTTCTCTTCGGGGATGGAGGAGATGGAGTCAACCACAGGCTCGGTGTCGAGGTTGGAGAGGTTGAAGGTTGTGTACGAGAGACCGAAGCCAAATTCGTACTGCACGGAGATATTCTTAGCGTCGAAATAGCGGTAGTCGATCTCGAGCTTTTCGTCGAACCAGGATTGCCAGTCATACGTGCCGTTGGTAGACACTGCGGTGGTGGGAGGGGCATTGTAGTCGCTAGCGTTCTTGGCAATTGTGTAGGGGAGGTGGCCGGAGGGATTGATGTCACCATAGAGGACATCGACGATAGAGTTACCAGCTTCCTGACCGGGGTAGTGGGCGGCGACGATGGCGGTGACGTTGGGGTGGCTGGCCCAGGGGAGGACGTTGATGCCGGCGGAATGGGTGATGACGATTGTGTTGTTGCAAGACTTGGCAACGGACTCGACAACATCGTTGCCGTCGTAGTCCACTGTCAAGCTTTCGCGGTCTGCGCCTTCTTCGGCCCAGGTCTTCAGGAAGACCAGACAGGCGTCAGGGGTGCTGGGAACCCAAAGATCGGTGACATTGTTGGTCGCGATCTGGGTGTTGTTCAAGAAGTATTGGACAAGAGCATCGTCCTTCTTGGCGCGGGTCTTGATTGCCTCGAGTGGGGAAACGAGATAGGTAAACCGGCCAGTACCCGAGCCACCACCAGAAGCGAGGTTACCAAATTCGAAGGTCGCCTGATTCACAGGGCCCATTGTGTTCTCACCGGCATCGTTTCCGAAGACAGCAATGTTCTTAGGAGCCTTCAAGGGCAAGACCTGCTTTTCGTTCTTCAGCAAGACTGTAGCTTCAGCTGCGAGCTTACGGATCAGCTTGGCGTGATCTCCGCAGACATCACGGCTTCGCTCGCCGGTGAGGTTGAACTCCCGGGCCCAGGTTGAGCGGGGAGAGAAGGTGTTCAGGTCAGCGGATGAAGGGTCCACCTCTGGGTAGTCCACGTCCTGTCCGAGCCAGTAGTAGGGTGTCATAATGCGGACGATCATATCATCGACACGATATTCATCGACGGTTCCGTTGCTAACGGCATATGTCACGTTCTTGCCGAAGAAAGAGGTCTCCTTGGCGATTTGACCCGCGGGGACTTGACCGTAGGCACCGAGACCACCGGGCATGTTCATGTCGAGACCACCTTCGATCGAGGCGACACCAGAGTGAGTGCCACCCCAGTCAGACATAACATATCCCTGGAAACCAAGCTCTTCTTTAAGCAGGCCGTTGAGTGCCTTAGAGTTCTCGCAAGCATAAGAACCATTCAGACGTTGGTATGAGCACATGAAGCTAGCAGCCTGGGCACGGACGGCATTGGCGAAGGGCCAAAGGTATAGCTCATGCATGGTTCGGTCATCAATATTGGCAGAAACTGCTTCTTGAATGACATCCGTGGCGGTTCCGTTGGGGTTGTAGGTAGGGTTACGCTGAGTCTCCTGCTCGTTGCCGATGAAGTGCTTCGCGGTGGCTTGCACGCCAGCGTCCTGGTGGCCGCGAATTGTCTTCTCCATGGCGACACCGGTCAAGTAAGGATCAGCAGCAAAGCCTTCCCAGTTTCGGCCTGCGTAGGCAGAGCGGCCGAGTGGGCCGGCCACAGGGCTGAGGGCGATGTGAGCACCCTTGGCCTTGAACTCTTGTCCCATGGCGTAACCTCGTTTATAGAGGAGATCTCTGTCCCATGTGGATGCCACGGTGACACCGGCAGCAAAAACACTGGCATAGTCGGCTACCCGAATTGACAAGGGGCCGTCCTGTAAACAGAGGCCTGGGAACCCGAGCCGTGGGATGGCAACAATGTTTCCCACACACGGGCCTGGCTGGCCAGTGACCATGTCGGCTTTCTCATCGATAGTCAACTTAGCGACAAACTCTTGGGCTTTGGCGTAGGCTTCCTCCCAGTCACCTGAACCGGTAGCGTTTGCTGTAGTATAGATCAGAAAGAGCCCAATCATGTAAATAAGAAACAAATAACAACATACGTGAGGGAAGGACCGCAGGGGAGTGTCCGTAAGGGCCTAGGATGGTTGTGTTCTTGGGCTGGACATAACTGAAAGCTTCTTCACTTCGACTGCCTCCATCAAATGACTGGCCATTAGCTAATGTGGCAGCCAAAAGGCCTGAAACCACAAACTGAGCGACGCGGGCCATTTTTCGTAACTTCGTTAGAACACAGGAGCTCGAACGGTCTCTGGAGGTGACATCTTGGGGTATTCACTCCTTTTTATAGCCTGCGATTTCGTATGCCGCGAGCCATCCCCGGAAATAAATGACCTGGTGGGGGTATGGGGTATGGAGGCGGGGGGAAGGCAAATTTTGCCGGGGTTCTACCGGTGACTTTACGGAAGAGCATGATTGGGCCCTGAGGCCAAGGACCTAAGGTTCATTGATGAAGATACAAGAATACTGGGCCGCATTTCCGACCTTCCAAGTCCCGTTGTCCACATTTCCGGCTTTGTCCCACCTGTTTTTAGTAATCTTCAAAATATTTTCATATCTCTTCTTTCTAGGTGTGCTATACATACTTCCCCATGTTGGTCTTGTAGCTAGCACATTGGTGGTGAAAATGACTTTTTCCATGTGTAACTTTTGATGAGGATAGTT